GGGGGGGGGGGGGGGGGGGGGGAAAGATGGAATGGCAATGGTCCACATGAGCGGAAAATAAATAGAAAACAGTGGAGGATGAATTTGGGGGCGGTAGGGGTGTAGGGTGTAGGTGGATCCCCACACATTCCAGCCAGCAGCCAGCATGGAGTTTGGGAGGGAGGGAGGGCAGCCTCGTTTATAGGTGCGGCCAAAGACGTGGAGGATCCACGCACCCTCTCCTCCTCCTCCTCCTCTTCCTCCTCCTCCTCCTACCCTATTCCCCTCTCCCTTCATCCTTCATACCCTATTACCACCTTAAACCACAACGCTACCTCCCAACTTGTACTCAATGAGTCTTTTGTTTTTGATAATGTAGAATACTTATTATCTCAACGCTTCAATATTGTGTTTGTGTTTTAGTTGTTTGTTGAAAAAGAATTAACAGCCTTACTCATCAGATGTATAGTAAAGAACATATAGCGTTTCTAGTTTATGATATACTATAATACAAGTACCATTACGAATAAAGTATGTGTTTAACAACAGAATGTACCTGATCAAATTCAGCCACGCTACTCTGCAAACCCTGTGGGAAACTTCCATTTCCTTCATGTCTTGGGAAATGTACAACTTTATTGATGGAGTCAACATCGGCCTAGTACACACAAAGGAGAGGTTATTAGTAAAGAATTACATGACCAAACTTTGAAAAATGGGAGCTAAGAAGACCTGAATTTGGTTTGTGTTTATTAAAGCCAGGAGCTGCTTCTCAATAGCTTCAATGTTTGTACCAAAAACAACAGCCACTCTCTGCAAACCAACTGCCACAAAGGGCTCGGTGTAGACAATAAGTGCTCTGTTTCTGATTTTATTATACAGTGTCTCGTAGTGATTGAAGAAATATATGTCAGCCAACAGCCATTCTCTCAAGTTATCAAGGTGTCTGAAGCACGAACAATAACGCCTGCCAATAGATCATCATACACTAAGAATCTGAACATGAAGTTTGGTTGAGAAAAGATGAATCAAAGTTCACTAGGATACCTCAAGTAAAAATCCCTGACGAGCTCCTTGACTTCCAGAGCAGAATCCAAGTAGAAATGAAAGTTCTGATTATCTATAACTGAAGTCTGGGGATGTAAAAAACCAGTGACTAAATAAAATTCTGTGCAAAGTAAATGGAGAATTAGAAAAGAAAAATGGAAAAATTGGTGCCTTGAACTCTATTGGATCAAAAGTTGCGAGTGCACATAGGGCGCCAAAGGTAGCAATATCATGAGCAGCCATGACTTTTGAAAATCGGTTTCCCAATTCTTTACTTACTCCCAAGAGCTGCATGTATATTCCTAAGAATATGAGTTACGGAAGAATTTATTGACATGGAAATGATGATGGATTGGCTAAGCCAAACCTGATGAGCAGCGTCTTTATAGCAATGTGCCTTGAAGCGAGCCAGTCCCAGAGCACAGCGCAGAGTCTCCATTGTAATAGGATTAAGATTTGGATATTGCATTCCTTTTTCAGCAATCTCCCCAGAAGCTTCAAACTGCCCCAACTCAATCACCACCACAATCAAACGCCTTAGCAATTCTGAGTAATTCTTATCGCTCCTGCAGAAATGTACGCTCTTCTTGTAAAACGCATAAGCCCTCGTAAGAGCGCCGTGGTCCTCGTAGAAAACTGCTATCGAATTGAACACGTTTCTTGCGTCCTCCGCACATATGGTTCTTTCCGTGTAAGATTTCTATCACAAAATCACCAATGAGGTGTATATATATCGAGATAATTCAATAATCACTACAGAATTTGATTTACTGGTTCATTTCATACCTCACAATTCTTCGCGCAGAGAATGATGGTTATATATATCGAGATAATTCAATAATCACTACAGAATTTGATTTACTGATTCAATTCATACCTCACAATTCTTCGCGCATCTCTGTAGCATTTCGCTCATCACACGCCTCCCCTCAATCACCGAGTTGCACCAATTTTCATCCATGTCGTAATTAGGGCCCAATCTCCCGTCAATTTTTCGCACGATTTTGATGAACACATTCACGTCGTTGCCCTTTTTGGCTATATCGTACGCGATTCGGAGTGCCTCCAGTTGCATTCTCCGCCGCCTTTCATTGGCGTTGCCGAAGCGATCGGCGATGAATATGAGGCGGAGGATTTTGGTACTGCGGTGGTAGTTGCTTGCGTATGCTTGGATGTCGAAATGCTTGCCCCCCTTCAAGAATGGCGTCGGAGAGTGGCCTTTTCCTTCTTCATCGCTATCGAAGTTACCATAATTATCTTTCGGTTTGTTGCTGTGGCCATCGGATTTGCTTCTCCAGAAATGCATTTCGGCGGACTCTGGAAGAACAGATTCTTTTTCTTGCTGCAGCGGATAGAGAGAGGGAAGTGTGTGAAGTGAAGGCTGCGTTTATGCGGCTTTGGTAACTGTTACCACACAAAACGACAAAATTATAGTTCGTTAAAGTCAAAGTTTGAATGGATTTGGTTGATTTTTTTTTTTTTTTTTCCCTGAATTTTTTTAGAACTTCAAAAACCTATCCATCTATTAAATAAAAAATAATAATAATAATAAAAATTTAAGATATTTTATGTAAACTTACATATTTTTAAAACATGGATGCATAATTACCCTTTAGATAATACTAAAATTCTTATTGGTGGATGATATAATACTTTATCTAATTGAAATATGTTGATATTAATATATTACATAATTGACATTTAAATTGAAGTATGTTAATTTTCTATTACTAAAGCTAATCTCTTCATATTAATATATTACAGATGCAAGAGATAAACATACAAGGAAAGTATATTGGTAGTTGAGGGGAAATAGTTTACCAGATACTGGCAACCTTCTGTTTGTTATCCTCCAAACTACATTATTGTTTCATAAAGTTTATGAAACTAACTACTACTGTAAAGCATCATCCAAAGAGGCCTCACTTTTTCCCCTATTTCCTACTGAACAGACTTCTCAACTTCCCCCTTTCCAGTTTCTCTACCAGTTTCTTCGCCCCCGGTATGTCCATCTCTGCTAGCTTCTTAAGATACCCGATCGCCCCATACGATATCATCAGCTTCTTGCATTTCCTGCTTGACGAGAGCAACCCAAGGCACGCGACCGCATATTTCTTTGCTGTGTTTTGGGGGCTTGGATCAAGCAGTTGGACGAGATTTGGGACACTTTTTTCATCCCTCTTCACTTCTCTGCAGTTCTGTGAAAGGGTCATAAGGCTTGAGATTGCTTGCGCTGCGACTTCTCGAACACTGTTTGTTTTGGCCTCGAGGAGTTTGATGAGAAGCGGGATGCATTTAGCTTCGCCTATAAGCTTCTTCATGTCTGGTGAGCTACATACCCTGCAGATTGCTGATGCTGCTGCCTGCTGTGCGCCGAGTGATCCCAATTTGAGCACATGCACTATACGGGGGAGGAAGCCAAGAGACAACAGAATTTCCATTGAAACTGAGCTGACTAAATTCCTCAATGCCCCAACTGCATATTCTTGAGGGAGAGGACCATCCAGATGTGCCAATATGCAGCGAAGACCTCCTTCAGCGATGACCGATCTCCTTAGAGCTTCGTTGCTGGCGGTGAGATTCTGTAGGCATTCAGCTGCATACTCTTTGGACCCCAACAGAATTCCACGATCCACAAGACTGATCATCACCCTTGTGATCCCTTCTTCAGCCAAAGTTTGTCGAACCTCAGGTACGGCTGATATGTTCTTCAACGCGCAAGCAGCAGCAGCCTGCGATACAGAATCACCAGTCTTGCATAGTTCGATAAGAGGTCGAACCCCACCATGCCCAACTATTGCCCGGGCGGTATCAGCTGGCATTGACAACCTTTGCAGTGAAATGACTGCTTTTTCTTTAGCCACAGCACTGCCAGACTCAACAAGTCTGATTAGAGGTGGCAAAACGCCTTCCGAAACAAGCCAATTTTCACAACTTCCCGATTCGACTAGCATGCAAATTATGGTGATTGTTTTCTCTCGAATACGCGGAGAGGTTGCAGTAAGCAATTGGACTAAAGCTGCAACATTATTACGACCAAAGACAGACAAAACATTGTCATCATCCTCTTTCAGGATCTCAACGAGGCTATCTAGAGCTCGATGTTTCGCCTCCATATGGCCAATCAGCAGCCTTGCAAGCAGTTCTCTTATGTTGCTGTAGTCAGTAGACTCCTGTTGCAATGAACAACCTGACAAGAGTAGAGGCAGAGTAGCCTCACCGAGCATACCCGTCTTAATCAAAACGGCACAATCATGTAAATTCAAATCCAATTTCCCAGACAGCGAGTCGAGATCGCTCTGAATCCAAAGCTTGCCTTCAAATTTTTCTCTAACACAAAGCTCCGCCAATTCAATGGCTTCCTTCAAGCTGTTCAAAACAGCGTGCAATTGCTCCTTGCAGAGGACATTCTTTGAAAAGCAAGGATGGCTAAACAAATCAGATAACCGCGATGGAAGCTGCTCGAGCTTTGAAACAATCATCTTCCACCTCCCAGGAAACACCTTAACCTCCGTAGCCTTCTCCAGAGCCACAGGAACAAGCTTCTGAGCTTGCAGCAGCCATTCTTCGGCCGACTCTGCCTCTGCCTCACCCGAACCCCCATCAACACCTCCCTCTTCCACCATGATTCAAATCTGGAAACAGGAATCAAGAGAAATTGAAATTCAGATCAGAACTGAACTCTCCCAGCAGCGCAATTATAAAGTTAAAAAAAGAATCGATGTGCGGCAATGGAGAAAAATAATCAGAAAAAGGCGGTGGAGAAGTTGCAATCAAAAGACAAGTAAATTATAAATTACTTTTGGAATTCCTTTAAAGTTAGGTATCTAAAAATAAAAGAACAAAAACAAATGAGCAAAGCATAAAGATAAGAGCATCGAAGAATCAAAGAAAGCCCCCACAAGTCCCTTCTACAGAAAACAGCCGACACAAGATTAGATTGCAAAAATCCCACAAATTTCTATTCTATGAATGACGGTGGAGTGGAAGTGAACTAAATCCAACGGTTCTCATTTTGCAAGGAAAAGGGAAAGCTGCTGCTAACTTCGCCATATTTACCGTTTTGGCCTCGTTTAAGAGAGAGACAGAGACTTTCCTTTGAAGAGAAGCTAGGGAAAGGGTCACAATCTACAGCTGGTAGAAGAGTAATACTACTTATTTCTTCTTGGAAACTTCAGTAAAATCCAAGGAAATAATCAGTAGAAAGACATTTCTGCAATAGCCCATTTGGAAAAACATCGCACCCTATCAATCAAACAGAGATCAAGAAAACGAAAGATAGAGACTGAGAAGAAAGACAGAGCCGAAGGAGAAAATAGAAAACAGAACAAAAAAAAAAAAAAAACTAATCTTTAAGAGTTGACGAGACTGCAATAATCATAGCAAGAAGATTCAAATCAGAAACAAATATGTAAACCTTCAATCAATATATTTACCTCTCTCTCTCTCTCTCTCTCTTGAGAATCTCTGTCTATTACTCAGTTTTTGGTGGAAAGGAAGACGACCCAGATGCCTCAGTTGCAATTTTTATGAAATTAGAAGTAGCCCAGGCGCCACTTCTGCTTTATCGAAGAGGAAACGGTCGAAAACGATTCAAAAATTCAAAAAAAATGCTCAAAAGAAGAGCTCCACAGAAGAAAGAAAGAGACAAACAAACAAGGAGAGTTGGGAACAAACAACACATATTCGAAAAAACAAACTTCCATCATAAATCCTCTCTCTCTGTCTCTAGTGGAAGAAAATGTCAAAATTTTGTGTCATCCTCTCAGGCTGTTTATGGAGAGCAACTTATTTTACATTGGCGGTATCTTAGAGAGGGAGAGGTTTAAGATGTTGGGGAACGGGAATGAGATGTTAAATGTGGAACGTGATTCTGGATCGGACGGTGGATTGACCATCGGTGTAACATGTAGAATGTGATCGAGGATCGGACGGTGGATAATGAATCTAAACGTTGAGATAAAATTTGAATATGCTTGGGGATAGGAAGACCTTCAAAATTGGAAAGTGGTGACGCGGCAACATTTGAAACGACTCATGTAATTGCGTTTTACTTTTTCCCCCCCTTTTCTCTGGGGGTTGTCATCAAACCCACGTGTACCACACGAATTTTCAAAATCCTGAAGTGTTAGGGGTGAAACTACCTAAGGAACCTCTGGAATGATCAAGAAATTTCGAAACTGCCACCATATATATATATATATATATATATATATATTTTACTTTTTAAGTTTTAAAAATGGGATAAGTAAGTGTAAAGGGTCTGGTTTGGAAATGTTTATTTTTATCTGAATATTTGAATTGCACAATTACAAATAATAAACACTAAAAAAAAAAAAAATACAATCACTATTACTAGAAGGCTTAAATAATAGTATAACATTTTCATAGAAACAGTTTTTATGAGTTCTTTTTTTCATCAATTTCAAAGCAGTGTAATTGCAAGAAGAGAATATATTTTTAAAAAAACAATTCTTCATATGACAGCCTAATAAAACCATTGAAAAACAGAAGAAAAGAAAAGGTGTGGACAGGAATCTTATTTGCTTCAAATAATCTCCAACGGCCTTATCCAAAAGTGACAAAAAAATCAGATAGCAATCAATCGGAAAAAAAAAAAAAGAGAGAAAAAAAAAAAAAAAAAAAAAAAAAAAAAAAAAAAAAAAAAAAAAAAAAAAAAAA